CACGTGAGGGATTAGATTTACACAAGGGGCGGCAGGGAGCCATAGAAGGCTTTAGAGCAAGGGCAGGGCTGGACACAGAGCTTGCTCTTCCTGCCAGCCCCACAGGTCTGCCTGGCGCAGCACCAGCCCCATCCCAGAGGACTCCAGAACGCCCACGTTAAAATCGCACACGTCAAACTGTCAAATAAAAGGGAAAGGGCATGGGGCGCCTGGGTGGCTTGGTTGGTTAAGCGTCCGACTTCGGCTCAGGTCATGATCTCACGGTCCGTGAGTTTGAGCCCCGCGTCGGGCTCTGTGCTGACAGCTCAGAGCCTGGAGCCGGTTTCAGAGTCTGTGTCTCCCTCTCTCTCTGCCCCTCCCCTGTTCATTCTCTGTCTCTCTGTGTCTCAAAAATAAATAAATGTTAAAAAAAAAAAAAAAAGGGGGGGAAAGGGCAACACGGCATACAGTGGATGATCCCAGTTTGGTGGATAAAATATATAGGCATATGCTGCCGACCACCACGTCGAGCTCTTGTATTCACTGAGTGTTCCCTGGAATGTGCCGCGGAGCACTCTTAGTTCGAGAACTAAGTTGTACGCGGAGTGGGTGAGCGGCAGAGGTGGGGTGTGACGCCGGGCATGTCTAAATCCACCTTAGCCCCTGTGTTGAAATGTTAACCGTGATTATGGCTCTGTGGGTGGATTACAAGGGATTTTCATTTTCCTTTCGATACTTTTCTATAGTTTGCCAATTGTCTACAGTGAATATATATATTACTTTGGCAGGAGAAAACAAATACATACTTCAAAAAAAAAATTCCTCCAGGTGTGCCTGGGTGGCTCAGTCGGTTGAGCGTCCGACTTCAGCTCAGGTCATGATCTCGCGGTTCGTGGGTTCGAGCCCCGCGTCGGGCTCTGTGCTGACAGCTCGGAGCCTGGAGTCTGCTTCCCATTCTGTGTCTCCCTCTCTCTCTGCCCCTCCCCTGAGCGTGCTCTGTCTCTGTCTCTGTCTCTCTCTCTCAAAAATAAACATTAAAAAAAATAAATAAATAAAATCCTCTGGTCCTCGTGCTAGGGACCCGAGCCCTTCTGAGAATTACTCCCCAAACTACCACTGAGTTTCCCCAGCACTTCAGGGGAAACAACCTGCTCACAAACCAGCAGAGAGAAGCTTTGCTCTCAGACTCTAAGTCCCCCATATTGTTACAGTGCCCATTTCATTTTTCTTTACCATTTCCTCTCATTCATAAATTAATTTTAATTACACAAAGGATATAAGGATACTCATTTGTGCCCTGTAGAAAATTAAAATACCACAGGTAAGACTCAAATTCCATGTGATCATCACCTCTCCTGTCCAATGACCTCCCATGAGAGGTCATGGAGTATAGTTATTTTTCGAGACATTTCCCTCTGTATTTACACATGTAAATATGTATCCAGGAAAATAAAATGCTATTATTGCGTGTGTATTCAACACTGCTGCATTCTGTTTTGCATACTATTCTGCAACTTGCTTTTTAAAAAATTTTTAATGCTTATTTATTTTTGAGAGAGAGAGAGGCAGACTGCAAGTGGGGGAAGGGCAGAGAGAGAGGGAGACCCAGAATCAGGAGGAGGCTCCAGGCCCTGAGCTGTCAGCACAGAACCTGACACGGGCTCAAACCCACGAACAGTGACATCATGACCTGAGCTGAAGTCAGACGCTTAACCAACTGAGCCACCCTGGCACCCCTGCAACGTGCTTTTTAAAAAAGAAGATGTTTACTTATTCCTTTTGAAAGAGACAGGGAAAGAGCACACATGAGCCAGGGAGGTGCAGAGAGAGCGGGGGAGAGAGAATCCCAAGCAGGCTCCTCGAGGTCAGCACGGAGCCCGACGTGGGGCTTGATCCCACAAACCGTGAGATCATGATCTGAGCCGAAATCAAGAATCAAACGCTTAACCGACTGAGTCACCCAGACGCCCCGCCACTTGCCCTTTTCATTCACCAGGATGCCGCAGCTGTCCTCTGGAATTGGGAAGAACCAAAAATGTCATCCAAGCAATGCGCGCGGCTCATTCCCAGAAGGAAGAGGTTTGTGCCTCGGACTGTCGTGCCAAGCCTGAGCGTCTCGCTGCCTGTAGGGTCGGAACGCTGTCCACGAAGGGCCACCAGGTGGCCGTTATCATTACCGGCCACCATCATCATTGGGACATCGTCAGGAACTCCAGAAGGGAGTCATGGCACCTGCATGAATACCACAGGGGCCCTTAGTTCTCCTCCCCGACGGGGGCCGGTTTCAAGGATCAGGCCTAGAAGCAGAGAGAGGAGCTGGAGGGGAAGGCCTTGCTTCACCCAGGAAGCCAGGAGACGGTGGGGCAGGGGAGGGGCAGCCAGCAGGCGCGGTCTTCCCCGAAGGCCAGCGCTGGCAAGGGACAGTCCACCGCAGAGGCAACAAGAAACTAATGAAGGCGACGAGCTGAACCCACATCCACTCGTCCTTTGCTTACATAGCAGGAGAGTCTGACGTGCGGAAGGGGGTCCGAAGGAAAGACGGTGGGCTTCTTGGGACCCCTGGGGACCCCTGCTGGTTTCATCCGGTGGAGAAAAGGTGCAGACACCTTGTCTTGTATTCTCCATGTCATGGTCGCATCCAATCCCTTTCCACATCCCTGGGAAAGTCAGGAGCTCGGGAAGCTCTCCCGACAGGCACCGCATTCCGGGAGGCCCCCACTCCGCACACAGGGCCGTGCGAGAGAGTGCCCCCTAGAGCTGCACCGCCAGCCTCCCCGCCACACCCTAGTTCTTCTGACCACCTCCAGGAAGTGACCGTCGGGAAGTGTGGACCAGTGGAGAGAAGCCCCGCTGAGGGTTCAAACACACCCAAGTCCACGACCCCAGGAGCCCCCCACTGCTGTCTCGGGCCTGGCCGGCCCTCCTCTCCTCCACTCTGCAGCCCCAGACGGGAGGCGTGCTTTGGGACAACAAGCGGGAGATGACAGAAGCTTTTCAAAGGGAGGAACCCCCTCTCTTCGGAGCAGGCTTCTTTCCTGCTATGCCAGTCCCCTCCCCGTCAGGGCCCGCGTGAGGTTGTTTGCGGTTGTGCCACAGGCCTGGAGGGATCGCTTCCTGTGACTTTGTTTGTCTGTGCGGCTGATGCCCCTACTGAGCAGTGGGGCCGCAGGAGCGCTTCCCGGAGCCCCTGGCTGGGCCGCGCTCTCGCTGGAGGTGAGACATCACTCAAATGCACACACATGCCCCTGTGCGGCCGCGGAGAAGTTCCCAGAATAATTACTTATACCCAGTCACTTCGCCCAGATGTTTATACAGCTGGGGAAGATGACAGTGTTGGGGAATAAGGTCAAAAACCACAGTTATCGTGAGACTCCTGCTGGGAAATAGACGGGAAGGTCCTCTGATTGAACCTAGTGCTGGGAACACGGGGCGTGTTAAGCTACTTACTTCACCGGTCTGCTGGGAGACACCACGGTCCTGGGGCACACCTTGCCTGAAACCCTTTTCTGACTCTGCCACCCCGGATGGGCCCCCGTTTGAGTTCCCACAAGGTCCCGCTGCCATTTCTGCCTCCCTCCGTTGCGCTTTCGTTCTGGAAAGTTCTTCACCAGGGCCACGGCTCTTTCAGGACCCGTGTGTAGCCCCGTGTCCGATTCATCTCCCCACTGTGGGTGCCAAGCACATGGCCCAAAGCAAAGTCAACTGTCACAGTAGTTTGCTGAATAAAAAATAATAGTAATTGGAAGAAAGGAGCCCCAAGTGAAAGTCCTGAGTAGAATGTCTGCCATCTGGGCAGCCCTCCCACTGTTGTCTGTGTAGCATCGGCAGGGCAACAGGATGCCAGAGGGAGGCTGTCAGAGCCCCCCGCTTGGTCTCTGGCTTCTTCTGAGGTAGTTCAGTGCCCCCGCCATCGGCCCCATCCCACAGCCACTATCCTTGTCCCATCTGTGTCCAAGCAGATACAAAACACCGACACTTCCTCAACCTCAAAATAAACACGCCGTCCCACAAGGCCTGTGAGCGTGGCCTAGCGTCTGTGTGCGGGGTCAGCCGACGACCCTGGACACAGCACCCCTGGCTGCCCTTCCGGACTGAGGCTCCTCTGTTCGGCTTCGCAGGCTCCATATCCCCCTTCCCTCGGATCCCTGGGAGAAATATCCTTGTAGCCCTCTCCCTTCAAACTCTAAAGTTCAGAGCTGGGAAATTCCACCATCATGCTCTGACACGGAAGAATTAAAACAAAAAAAACAAAAACAGAAAAGGAATCCCCTGGTGACCAAGGTTCCCCAGCTTTGAGAACCACCGGGCTGCGTTCTCGTAGGAGAGCACAGAGAAAAGGGAAGAGGTCTGTCCCCAGGCAGACCTGTACCCAGGCAGGTCTGTACCCAGAACCAGCAAAAAGGAGACACCGAGAATGTTTCCCAGGCCCACCTGTTCAGCAGGACCTTTTCAATCACCCTCACTCTCCGGGACATCCGAGCCAAGCCATCGTGTACAACTTGAACTTTGGGTGGTGGTCCGTGGGGTAAGAGCCCAGCCTGGGTCTCACCTTATTGGGCTAGAGATTCCAAGCTCAAGGTGTCCTATAACAGGGGTCCCATCAGATGGGTACCCATGGTCAGTATAATTAGTGGAGCTTTCTAGGCCTATCACTCTAAAAACTGTTTGTTACGATAATGGGCCTTGAGGTTGAATGAGCGTGATTCTCCCTGAAGAAGAGAGAGAAGTAACTGGGTCCATGTGGCTCTGTCAGCCACCCTGCTACTGGGCCTTGGATGGAGAAAGCTCTCCCTGCACGGGAGGCTGTGAGCCTCCAATTCTAGCGGAGGGCAGGCATCCCCCTTGGCTGCCTACGCAGGCTCCAGCAAGGTGGGTGAGGCCGGGGCCATGCCCCGGCCCTCTTCTGCGCCCTTTGTGCCAACAGGTGGTGGCAGGAAGCAGGGAGTGAGCATGTGTGTTTAACTGGAACACTTGGGTGGGGCTGTTTCTTGTTTGGCTCAGCCCAAAGAGAAAGGACCAGATAGAAGCGTGTAACCACATTTATGACTCAGTGACAACACAACACTCGTCAAGAGCTGCGGGGGTTACGGTGCTGAATATGAGCTACACGGAGAGCCGGGCCAGGACGGACAGCAGAACCTCGGAGGGCCCAGGGCACATGGTGCTGGCAGGGCAGGGAGGGCAGAGGCAGAGGAAGGAGGGAGAAAGGCCTGGCTTCCGTGGGACTCTGTGGGCACCGTGAAGAGTACGGGCACTGACCCCAGGGCCCTTCGCCGTGCAGGGGGAGAAAGGTCCCATGGGTGAACACCGCGGCCAGGACACCAGGCTGCTGTAGGGAGTAAACAGGACAGGGCATCTAGAGACTCTAGTCTCTGCTCTTTGGCTAATTCATCCTGGGATCTGGGCAAGCCTCCTGCCTTCTCTCAGCCCCAGCTTCCCCATCTATTACATGCTTGTAGTGAGCTATAGGAGAGCTTCTGGTGGCCTCGGGTGTTGTCCCAAAAAGGAAGGAAGCGGAGGGGGAGGTGAGTTACCGGGGGGGGGGGGGGGGGACAGAGAACCCTACACCACGGCCCCTCGTCTCCTCTTCTGACCACACCAGCAGCTCAGCAGCTGCCCCCGCATGGGTCCCATCACCCAGAGTCCCAGCAGAGCCCTGAGCTCACAGAGCTGTGAACGCTGGAGATGGATGGCCAGGCAGAAGAGCAAGGAGCAGGCCGGCACACAGATGGCCTCACACAGACGAGCGGCTCAGGCAAAGCAGCCGTTCCCCACCCCCTCGCCCCAAGCTCCCCCTGAAAAGCCCAGATCCTGGCAGATGACCTAGGGAATGGGGTTCTCTGCCCGTTCTTGGCTAACCCAAGTATGGCAGCCCTCTTCTAGAGAGCTTCCTTAATTCAGGGCCCCTGTATCCTGGGCAGCCTGCAGAGCCATGCGGACCAGAGCCGGGTCCTTCTGGGGGATCTCAGCTTCAGCCCCCTGCACCCCAACATTCAGGGCCTCGTGGGGCCAGAGGATGCAGGCCTACTGAAGGCAGAAACAAGGATCAAAACACAGAAAAGAGAAACCCACATCTGCCCCCTTTGAGCAAGAAGTTCAGCCTTCTGTATACGGCCTGTCCCTGGCCACGTTCCTGGTTAGGGATGAAGGCGTGGCATGGGAATGCACCCACGGGGAGGTCTTTGGCACGTGGCCCTGGTGATTCAGGTCTCCTCTCACATGGATCAGAATTCACTCCTTTCCTCAAAGGTTTAAGTCCTACTCACCCTTTAGGTCAATGTTGTACCTCCTCCAGGAAGCCTTCCCAGCCTACACTTATGGCTCACGGGATGGTCTCTCACACTCACCATACTCTTGTTACAAAACCTTGTATGTAATTTCTCCCCCATCATCCCACACCTGTTATATTTTTCTCTGCACCCAACACAGGACATATCCTCACCCTAACACTATTCATAGTCCAGCATTGATGTTGGTTAGATTTCACCAACATTCAAGAAGTATCCTCCGCTTTCTTCAGGGTAGCCAAGGGCTCTTGACTGACCACCTGCAGTCCAAAGTCTTCATTTTACAGATGGAGAAACGGAGGCCCAAAGAGAGGATGGGCTCTACCTCGGGTCAAATAGTGAGCCGGTGGTGGGGCTGGGCCTAGAGCCCACAGCACTGCAACTTTTGTCTCACTGCCAATTCTGAGTCTTTTCTGGAACCTCCTTGACAGATGGTCTCCCTCTGCATGGATGCCTCTAGTTCCTGGGAGCTCAGCCTTGCGGAAGGCAGCTTAGGCAGTGCTGGGCAGCCAACAGAACCCTGTTTCTTCTGCCAAGCAAAAATTTGCTTCCTTGCAACCTCCCCTCCCTGATCCATCTCTGTCACTCGGTCCTTTGTTTGGTCCCTCATTCGCTCATTCAACCGCCATTGGGCACCTGCCTTGTGCCAGCTGAATGAAAGAAGCATGTCTTGCCTACTAGAGCAGGGACAGCTGCATAGAGTATTAAACGCTTGGTGTGAACCTGAGCTCCAGGAAGGCAGGGACCACTTCTGGGTTCTCTCACCGTGTCTTCAGGGACAACCACAGTGCATAGCACTGCAGAGGTGCTCGTAAGTCTCCCTGGATACAAAAGAAATAGTGAACGACATGGATGTGAAACAGGAAAAGGCTTGTTCAGGTAGGGTAAAAACCGAGAGACAGCAGCTGGTTCTGCGTGGGTTGGAGGAGGGGAACAGTCAAGGTGGACTTTGAATTAGGTGGGGAAAGGTGGGTTTCAGCAGACAGGGCAGGCGGGGAGGGCCCAGCAGAAGCAGAGATGCTACCACAAAGAACAGGGTGTTACCTGGCACTCCTAAAGCCTTCCATCCGGAACCATCATAAGGCAGGAATGGGGACTAGGAAGAAATGAGACAAGTAGGGACAGCTGGGCCATGAAGGGCCTTGAATTCTAAGCTAAGATACCTGGACCTGGCCCAACGGCAAAAGGAAGGCAGCAGCGTTTTTCAAAGTGAGTGACAGGATCTGAGCAGTGCTTTGGAAAAATCACTATGGTGACCGGGTATGGAACGCATCCGCCAGCTCACGTGGGGACCCGTCGGGAAGCCGGTGCAATTGTCCAGGTGAGAGATGATTACAGGGCAGCCAAAAGACCAATCATTTCCCAGTTGAATGGTAATTGGGCATTCCAAACGCAATCCCCAGGTTGTCAGTGTCCCCAGCTGTAATCTCCTCCCTGCGCTCTGGCTGGCCCTGCGTGAGCAGTTCAAGCAGCTTATAGTTAATCCTCCGGGCTTGGGCACCTCCTCCCCACGCCGCCATGGCCAGCCCCTTGGTGGGCAGGGCCGTGTCTCTGCATAAGGACTCTGATGGGCCACCATCAGGCCCCCGAGCTTTCCAGGCTCTGTCCAGCGAGCCCCGGGCTGGCAATACCAAGATGGCTTCCGTGGGTCCTGGCCCAAACTGATTAATCATCACTTTATTCCAGCTCTCGGCTCTTGCTGCAATTGGCATATTTATTTCTAATCAGCTCTTAAAAATGGCATCATTCAAAGGTGCTTAGCCACATTACTTAATTCTCAGTCTGTATTACTATTGATTTCAAATATTCTCCTCAAGATATGGCTCATCATTCAATGCAGAAGTCTGTTTATATAATAATCTTATCTGGTTACTAAAATCTGTGAAATCTCTTCAATTGCCTCTAATGCAAGATCGGAGGCTGGTTGCTAAATGAGTCAATTTTACTTTAATTTGGTTTATTTACAGTACATGTTTTAATGTATTTCCCATCTTTTGCAGCAACACTGAAAATAAAGGCAAATGTAGGCAGAGAGAGGGTCCTGTGCTTTTCTCAGTCTGCAGGAGTCGAGGCAGCCTGCCTGAGCTCCCAGAGCAGAGCTTTCCACCTCGGCCAGCCCGCGGAAGGACCCGCAGGGGCCTGCAAATGCCGACAGCAACCGCGCGGGGCCATTAAAAGAGCACCAGAAGGAGAGCCCAGATTTGGTTCCAGTCCCTGCTCTGCCGTTTCATAAAGATGATCAGGTTGCTCGACATCATGGAGATTCAGTCCCCCCATCTGCGAAACGGGGATGATATAACATCTTCCAAGCGCAGGTCTCGGGAGATGCGCAGCGACTAGGAGGTTAAAGTGCACGTGGTGGGGGCTCCACGCTCCTCCTGCACCAGTCTCCCGTCCCGGGAGTCACTTTCCTCTTCATGCCGGCTTGCTCCTGGGCCAAAGGGGTAGCCCGACCCTCTCCATCACGGCACATCCCCCGGTACTTTTTGCTTCGGACCCGCCGCTGAGTGGCCACCTCTGTCTGTGTCTCTTTGACGCGACGGCAAAGGAGAGAATGCATTCGAGCCAGCTCTGTGTGTGCGAGCCAGGCCCTGGAGCCACGTCTTGCTGGTGCCCCTGATCCCTGGCCCGGTCACCTGTGGCCAGGGAGCAGAGGCCAGGATCAGTGCTCGAGAACCCAGCCGTGCCTCCTCTACAGAGCTGGAACATGCCAGATGCTGGGCGAGGCTCTGGCTGTGCAACATGGGGCCCTGGCTTTGGGCTACCCCCCAGCTGGCTAGAGACGCGCGCAAAAGCAAGAGGAGATGCTCTTGGGCTGCGGGAGGAGGGGCCGAATGTTCGACGAGCCCCACTCTCTTTTATTAGTAAGTGTTGTGCCCGCTGAGGATGCCACAGGGATGGCAGCCCACTGCTGTCTCTGGGCCTCTCCTTGGCCCAGGCAGAGCTGAGGAACCCCCTGCCTGCAGCAGGCGGGTTCCATTTGCCCCTTGATGCTGTTGCTCTGTCTCGGTCAGGTGTGAAAGCGGCCATTTCATGCTCGTCTTCCCCAATTAACAACAGCTGGTCCCCTATAAAACCGACCGGTGAGATGGTTTGTTATTGGAAGACAAGGAGACATCATTAGGCATTAATGGCTCAGCCTCGTCGCCTGGCCTGAGTTCGCGGGGTTAATGCGGTGAGATGTCGGGCCTCGCCCTGCAGAGCTGCTGGCCTCCTCTGCTGTTTCCAGGCCGTTTCCCCAACCTCCACCCTCTGGATCAAGAACCGGGAGGCGGAAGGAAGTCAGAAGAAGGTCCTGATTTCCTGCAAGGGAAACTGCAGGAGGCAGACGATCTGCCGCTTAGAGGAAAGAGAGTTTGATGGAAAGAACAGAGTTTAATTGAAAGAACAATTTTGAATCCGGAAAGTTTTTTTAAACATTCCTGCTTGTGCCTGGGTTAATCATTCTGTTTCCCTCAGCACTTAGATACGCCCTCCTTTTGTCTCCCCCTCTCTGTTTATCCTTACATCACGGCTGCTAGCTCATGTGAGACCCTTCATGCTCCTGGTTTGAAGGTTAAGAAGAGGCTCATGGGCTATATTCAGACAAGAGCCCTTTCCCTGGCAATTTAACCGCGTGACTGCGAGAGACGGTCTGGGGCAGGCTGAGACCCACAAGTCACACTGACTGGATCTGGTGCCGAGAACAACTTTGCCTTCTAAGGTGACCGTTTCATCGTGGGCTTGTATATTTCCTTGGGCCCTCAAACCAAAGCCTGAGTCTGCATGGCCCCCTTGACCTTGGCAACAAAGTGACCAACACTGTTCCACAAGGAAGTCTCCCTTTCATTAGGCAAATCACGAATCTCCATGCTTGGCATGGAGATTCATTCATTCATTCATTCGCTTGGCAAACATGAAGTGACCACCTATTTTTATTTCTATCTATCTATCTGCCTGTCTATCTACATATCTATCTGTCAGGCTCTACAGACAAACACATCTGCCACTCCCAACCAGTCGGTTAGAACAGATGCATTCAAGGATTTTGTTAAAAAGGAAAATTTTCTATTTATCCTTCGCTCCTTCCTTCCTTCTCTCCTTTCTTATTCTGTCCTTCTACAAAACTTTCTTAAGCATTTATACTCAATATAGACGTGATTCTATGCTAAAGGAACAAGAAACTTACCATCTGCACAGAGTGACAAAATGGCACCCCCACCGAGCGGAGAATCAAAGCCCCGTTGAGGAGTCCTTGGGGCTGCCGGCAGCCAGCTCTTCTAGCATGAGCTTTGGACAGAGACTTGAGGGGGAGCCAGCAATGGCGGGACAGAGTCCCTGGGCTGAGTTCACACTCTCGTTCCTTCTGTGCTTACCGCCCTGTCGCCTTCCCTTGATGTTCAGGCGAGTGGATCCTATCTCAACCCTGCTAAGGGAAACCAGCAAGGAGACGTGGAGTCCACCCCTGGCCAGAGCTTCGTTGGGAGAAAAGTACTCCTAGGGCCAGCCTAGAGTGGCAAAACCCTTTGCACCCACCCCACCCCGGGGGAACCACACCAGGACTACTTGATCTGGCCCCTCCAAAGTGCCTGAGTGAACTCTCAGCCCATTACTTTCTGTGTTAATAAGGGAAGACACTCCCTGCTCGTCCACCCTGGGTGGGAGTAGATTAAAAGAACTCACTGTCTGTCCCACTCACGAGGCACTTAATCAAAGAGTGACACGAGCATTCCCTTTTCCTCCTCCTCCTGTTCTCTAACTTTTCCCGGGGATAAGGCTTAACCTCCACCACAGGTTCCCAGAGGGAAGAAATAGAAACCTATCTACGTTACCTTATTGTTTTGAAACCAGAATTATGGCGTCAATTCCGCCACAGGATCGTCACACCCATTCTGAGAATAGGAAGTGATCTAGAAAATGCAGTAGCATAAACACCAAAAATATTGCTGTTTAAGGAAGTCAAGTGGGGCGCCGGTAGCCCGTTCGGTTACGTGTCCGACTTCGGCTCAGGTCATGATGTCACGGGCCATGAGTTCCAGGCTTGCATGGGGCTCTGTGCTGACAGCTCAGAGCCTGGAGCCTGTTTCAGATTCCGTGTCTTCCTTTCTCTCTGCTCCTCCCCCATTTGCACACTTTTTCTCTCAAAAATAAATAAACATTGGGGCGCCTGGGTGGCGCAGTCAGGTAAGCGTCCGACTTCAGCCAGGTCACGATCTCGCGGTCCGTGAGTTCGAGCCCCGCGTCGGGCTCTGGGCTGATGGCTCAGAGCCTGGAGCCTGTTTCCGATTCTGTGTCTCCCTCTCTCTCTGCCCCTCCCCCGTTCATGCTCTGTCTCTCTCTGTCCCAAAAATAAATAAACGTTGAAAAAAAAAATTTTTTTTTTAATTAAATAAATAAATAAATAAACATTAAAAAAAAGAAAGACAGTTAAGTGACTTAATAGAGACTTTGGGTAGCTTCCCAGCTTTACCACTTGCATACTTACTGTGTGACCACGGGCAAGTGTCTCACCTCTGTGGGCCTCAGTCTCCTGTTTGAAGGCAGACTGTTCTGGAGAACCGATGGTGGGCGCCACAATCACGATTCACCGCTTCTCTCTACTTCTAGCATCTCACGCATGAGCCCACGCCCAGCATACAGCTGGGTGCTCAGAAGCCCCTCGGCAAGGAAGCTTTGAATGAATGAAAAAAACATTTTCTAAGCAGGAGACATGCTCCAAGAGATCCGCCCCCTCCCCAGGCTCTTTGCAGTAGGACTTTTGGAAAAACCTCTCTAGATGCCGCTTCATCTGGACGCCGAATTCCTGCAAACCAGCTGACCTGTATTTACAGTCTCCACGTTTGTTTTGGAGAAAATCCAAATGTCCACTTAACCGGGCCGGAGGCCAGCATAATCTTCCTATGTTGTTTGTAACCATGAGATTAATGGCGGGCCTTGCTCTGAACCTTCTGGTGACATCACTCACCTGGGGGTGTCTCTTTGGTATGGATAACAGTAGTGGGTTGGTCTTCTCTCTGGCTGTGCTCTGGTTTAGGAGGCTTGCCTTCTGTGGGAAGGCTGCGTGGGGGATGCAGCTACTTGGCTTTGGAGACAGACACTGGTGAGCGCTGAGATAAGTCCCAAGCCCTGCTCTGTATATCCTGTGCCAACTGAGTGATCTTGGGCAAGTTGCCTAAGCCCTCTGACCCTCGGTTTCCTCACACATGAGGGTCACATCACTTACTTCCTGCAGTTATGCAAAGATTAAATGAAAGAAATGCTTCATAAATGCCTGCACTCTACCCATTGATACACACACTCACATAATTTATTTTCCAATGGACGATGGTTGAGCAGCTCATCTGATGTTAAAATAGAGCACGAGTTACAACCCAACAACAACAACAAAACAAAACCATTAGAAAGCACGCAAAGGACTTGAACCGATGTTTCTCCTGAGAAGATAGTCATATGGACGGCAAACACATACAAAGATGCTCAACGTCACTCACCATTATCACCAACCACCCTTTGGGATGGCTATAGCAACAGCAACAACCAAAAAAAAAACCACACACACACACCAAAAATAGAAAATAAAGCGTTGGTGAGGGTGTGGAGAAATTGGAAGCCCTGTGGACTGTTCTTGGGAACGGAAAATTGCACAGCCGCCATGAAAGACGGTATGGTGGTTCCTCAAAAAGATCTAACAGTATCACCGTATGTCCAGCAAGTCTGCTTCTAAGTACACACCCCAAATAAGTGGAAGCAGGGACTCAAACAGCTATTTGCATACCCGTGCTCATAGAACATTGTTTAAAAAAGAGCTAAAAGGTAGAGACAACTCAAGTACTCATTGATGGATGAACAGACCAACAAAATGTGGTACCTCCATATGCCGGAAGATTATTTAGTCTTAAAAAGCAAGGAAACTCTGGGGCATCTGGGTGGCTCGGTCACTTAAGCATCTGACTCTTGATTTCAGCTCGGGTCATGATCCCAGGGTCGTGGGATTGAGCCCTGTATCGGGCTCTGCACTGGGCACAGAGCCTGCTAGAGATTCTCTCTCTCCCTCCCTCTGCCCCTCTCCCCCACTCTCTCTTTCAAAAAAAAAAAAAAATTAACAAGCAAGGGTATTCTGACATGTGCTACAACATGGATAAACCTTGAAGACATTACGCTAAGAGAAATCAACAGGGAAAGTACCATTTGATTCCACTTATGGGAGGTACCTAACATCGTCCAACTTGTAAAGACAGAAAGCAGGAGGGGCGCCTGGGTGGCGCAGTCGGTTAAGCGTCCGACTTCAGCCAGGTCACGATCTTGCGGTCCGTGAGTTCGAGCCCCGCGTCAGGCTCTGGGCTGATGGCTCAGAGCCTGGAGCCTGTTTCCGATTCTGTGTCTCCCTCTCTCTCTGCCCCTCCCCCGTTCATGCTCTGACTCTCTCTGTCCCAAAAATAAATAAACGTTGAAAAAAAAAAAAAAAAAAAGAAAGCAGGACGGTGGTTGCCCAGGGCCGGGGGGAGGAGGGAGTGGAGACAGTGTTAAATGGGGACAGAGCTTCAGTTTGGGAAGATGAAGAAGTTCTGGAGACGGGTGGTGGTGATGCTTGTAAAGCAATGTGGATGTACTGAACGCCATGGAACCCTGCACCTAAAAACGGTCACCATGGTAGATTTCACGTTATACATATTTTGACACAATAAAGCATTCTAAAAAATAATAATAAAATAAGACACGGGTGATATTATTTGCAGCAGAGAAATCAAGTTCCTGGGGGTTTCGATTTCCAGAGGGACAACAACACTTCCTGAATGCATTTGCTATGATGATGGTGATGATGGTTAGTGGTGATACTTGTAGTCATAACAATCTTACGGTTTTTCTAATCATCAGAGGAAATACCCTGTTTTGTTTTGTTTTTTGGGTTTTTTTTTCTTTTGTTTTTTTTTTTTTTTACAGATGAGTAAATCGAGGCTCAGAAGGGACTCACTTTTAGGCCAGGAACCCAGATCACCCAGCTGTCTGTGGGGCAGAGCCATAAGGGCAGTTGAAGGTACGTAGGCACATCACAGTGTATTTGGGCACAACACAGGCATGTCCACCTGAGGCACGTCTCCATAAGCCTCTCCAACTAAGGCCTGAAGCTCAGGCAACCAACCCCTAGTCGGGTGGAGAAAGTCTAACCAGAAGCAGCTGACCTCTGCCAGCTGGACACAGGCCATAGAGGAGTTTGGAGGGGGTGAGTTTCCCCAAGGGGGTCACCGGTTCCTTACCGAAGATCATTCCTGACTGAACAGGGGATTCTGGGAAGTAGCAGCCTGGACACCTTCAGACCCAGGGACTGATCTCCATCCATTACTTCCTGTGTGACCTGGGGTAAAGCATTTACCTCTCGGGGCTTCCGGTTTCTCTGTGCATCTTATACTTCTCAGGAGGTGGGTCCCAAAGACTGGGAGTGGATGGAAAGGTCTGTGTGAGGGCTGGACGCCCCCTCACCAACCAAAGAGCCCTTAGGCTGGGGCAGTTTCCAAAGCATAGTCAAAGATTCACGTTCGACCAGCATGTATGGAACGTTTATGTGCCTAGCTTTCTGCCACGTTGTTTACAAACGGTTGTTCTACTTCTCACACAAGCTGGGCGTTGTTATCTCTGCTTTCCAGGGGAGCGTCTGAGGGGTTAAGACATGCGTTCGGGTCACGCAGGTACTGAGCGACAGAGCCATGATGTCACCACAGACGTGCCTCCCTCAGAGCCGCTGACTCAGGCTTCTTCCCTTGAGACTGTGCTTCAGGCCGGTAGAGGATGCGGGGGGCTGCAGGCAACGGTGGAGAAGACACAGCCTCTGCATCTGAGGAAGTGAGTCGCATCAGGAGACGATTCCAATGTAAAGCGATGAGCGCCGAGCTAAGGGGCATTACAGGGGCGCAGAGCAGGGGGGGGTGTGGCCCACATTTACAGGTCCTGGGAGGGATTTCTGGAAAACTTGTACCTGAGCTGGGCTGTGACAAGTGCTGGCCAGATGAGGAAGGGGAGAGAGGCATTCCAGGCAGAAGGACCAGCGTGCTGTGTTTGGGGAAGCGATTTCTAGTCCCGCCGGGGTATGACTGAAGGTGTGTTGGAAGATAGAGCCAAAGCAATGGGCAGGGCCTCGGTCACGGCCCCGGGGGCTTCGGGTGTACCCTGTGGGTAGTCACGGAAAGGTTAAAAGCCGGGAAACCGGGTCGGGTTTGCACGCACACACACGTACACACTCAGACTGAGAGACAGAAGCCTCCAGCTGCAGCACCAGGAACGGGTGGAGTGGGGGTGGGGGGCAGCCACGCAGCCGTCGAGTCTGAGAGACTTATTCGGAAGCTGCTGAAGACTTGGCCAAAGCTCAGAGAGCCCCTGACTCTGCCTGCCGTAGACTGTAGCCCCAGTAAGCGCAGGGCTGGGCAGCAAGGAAGGTGGTCTAGAAGGTGGGTCTCCAGGCAGGTTGCCTCCTCGCAGCCCTGGTAGCAAGAGGGCAGCCAGCACCTTCCAGGGCTGCACCTTCCTGTCTTTCCTTGGCCGTCAATCAACTAAGGATGACAGTCACGGGACCTTGGTGGCGGCGGGGATCCGGGGAGAAGTAAGCCACGCAAAGGTGGGATGCGGTGCCTGGTGTCCCCGTTGTGACTCAGTAACTGTTACGACCTGCAGGTGAGCGGCTGGGACCGCTTGCCACCCCCGGGAAGGTTCCACGCCCACTCCCTGTGCACCCCCTCCCCACCCAAGCCTCCAAGGGGGGCGGGGGTGGGCCGTGAGTAGCAAATGGCCTGGAAGAAATGCGTTCTCCTGGCAATTGCCTTCATTGCCGGCCATAAAAATACATCTATATTTAAATATGCCGGGATAATTCTTAAGTTTTATTAGTACTTAAATATTTTGGCATGTTTATTTCTCCTGGAACAATTATGGAGGTTTCATTGTTTTACTCACAAAAAAAGAAACTAAATCTCCTTTTACAATACCCGCCCCCCTGACAGGTTGAATATGGCACTCTCTCGAGTGTGTGTGTCCTATTATTGCCTAGACGGCTCACAGGACGCAGAGGCAGAACCAGTCGTGT